AAAACCTGCACTTGATGGTGACTTGTGCTATGGGCTTGAAGTTGGCCTCTAATGTATGGGCTCTAGTGTTGTACGCCACATACACATTGAGTTCCTGATGACGGCTCTTAGGGTCCTGTTGATCTTGTATAGTTCTAGGCATTCCAGGAACCCAGGTGTGGGGCATCTATCCAGGCAGCGCACAGGTTGGTGAGCCTAGTCTTGCTGTCTCAGACAACTGCTCGGTCTACCAGTAGCCTCCTTTCTGTGCCCCACTCATATAATGAACCATAGCTTACCCACTACGATGCTTGACAAAAGCTTCCATTTGGTACCAAGGCTAGGACCAGTCCCTTCTTGGGGTATTTGGGGATCAGGACTCTCCGGCCTTCAGTCATCCATTCAGAGTGTCTCTCATTGACTCAGTGAATACTCAGCCCCTTCAGCCAGTAGGTGTGGCCATGGTGAAGTCTGGTGCTGTCTAACTCTTCACTGTGATGATTACTAGGCCATGTTCAGGGTCTGTGATAATCACTGCGATGGTTAAATCACAGTGATGGGTACTGGATGGATATCTGGATGGATATCATCCATCTAAGTTCAGGGAGCAGCCCACTTCTCATCAGAATGTTCTGGTACCTCAACACCTGATGCAGGCCTTGTTAATCCGGTCACGTCCGAGCCTGTATGGCTCCATATTTATCTTTTTTTGCTCATGTCTGTGGTAAGCTATACCATTATACTACACACACACTAGACTTCTTCCACAGTATCCAGAGTGAGATGGAGTAACAGCTGTTTCAGGGTTTAATAATTGCTGGGACATAAAAATATGTATAGTATGTTTGTTTGCTTTGCTGTAAAATGTCAGTTTTTATAGTTTTTCTCCTGCTTTGACCCACCCTCTAGTTCTCATCTGAATATGTATTTGCCAAAACAGCTCAATTGTAGTTAACAATTAAATTTACTATATAATCAATTATAACTGGCTGCAAAATAATTTCATATGTCAATTATTATAGGTCCGTCAGTATTTGGGAGCTGAATCTTCAGCCCTGCTGAAAGCCTA